ACATTTAACTTACTGTTTCATGTAAAGTCATGCAAATATCAAAGGGCAAAATATGCATGAAAATGCAGAAATTAGAGGAAGATTTCACAACTTCCCTTAAACCAAACAGAAACACCAAAAAAGACAAAGAAAAGAATAAAGTTATACACATAAGTTAAATTAAAAGAAAAAAGTTGTACACATTTATTATATACAGTTATATTCTTAGTGTCTATGCGTGCAAACTCACTCTTCTTACTTAATTATGAGGTTCCACAAGTTAAAATAGGCACACATAAGCATGACCTTAGTATTTGGATTATAGACTACTATGGAATTACCAGCAAAGAAAGTGCTTCATTGTAAGTTTTACCTGTTTATTAACAATTTAAAGAAAATGAAATTTAGTGATTCTATGCATATTACCGCCCTTCAATTGTAAATTAACATGCTAAAAAGTATTAACACTAATCCATCATATAAAAGACACACATACCAAACAACTGATCCTGTTTGGATTGCTATTTTCTGTCAGAAAATTGCGTCGTTTTCTGTGATCACATTTCCTATTACCTTTTTTCCTCACATACATTAAATCGCCACAGTAATTTTTCCATAGAAAATGACGGAAAATGCAATCCAAACGGAGCGGTGTGTTGGTTTTCACGAAAGATTTTCTCATGTATGAACTATGATAATGCTCGTGGTGGTGATTAGAGTCGAACTCATCCAAATCTTATATTTATATATAAAAAAAATGAATGGTAACAATTATGTGAAGCTAACAGCTTTTTTTTTTTCTTTTAAAAATTCAGAGTTATAAACGAAGCACCAAAGTCACTGCATTATTACCAAGAGAACTTGAAAAATCTCATGCATGAGAAAAATATAATTGTGGGTTTGAAAACCTAATATTCCGCATTAAGTTAGTCAATGACAATGTAACAACGGTGGTCAGTATACATATTTAAAGAATTAGACTTGAACATCACATCTAAGCTTCCACTGAAATCACCTTTAGGCAGGAAATTTCTTGGCTGATACTAGGATATATCAAGTGTATATACATAATAGTACTAGGAAAAGTAATAATTTAAAATATTAAAACTAGGCTATTTGGGTCAAGGGAATATGCATGGTTGAAAGGGTTAAAAGATGAACTAAATTACTCGATACTTTAAACTTAATAAAAAGCTCATTTGTGTTTAGTTTGTGAACTAGTCAAGCCAGATTTGGTTTGGCAAATAAACAAATCAAACTTAAATAAATTTTCAAACTCGTTAAAATAATCAAACAAATTTGAACACTAAGCTGTTCGGTTTGATTATATTCATTTGCATGCCTACAAGGGAGTTAGAACAAAAACAAAAAGTAACACAACAAACTTCTTTTATCTGAAACAACCTAATATATATATTGCCATTAATGAACTTTGCATGTCCCATTATTTGTTTCCTTTTTTTTGAGGAATTGCAGCGCTAAAATTGGAATAACTTCAAATGCTGCATAATTAATTTTGTAGACACATATACAATAAAAACGTGGATGAACATTAAGGGGCTTAACTGAAGTACTCTCAAAGACAAAAATCAAGTAGGAGATTTATTAATTTCATCTAAAAGAGAAAACAAAATGTCAAAAAGAGCAAGAAAGAAGCATGCAAATTTTGTAGTTTTTTTTCTTTCATCTTTTTAGAAGAAATCAAATATTTAATAGCAAAAACACGATAGCTAGGGTTTACAAAATTAAGGAACATGTTGATATTGTCGAGTTGGTACAATGGTACTGGTCCTTTGCACTTTTAAGATGTACTAGTAAATATATTACCACTTGCTCCTTTTTTTTTTTCTCTAATACAATACCCACTAATTCTAGGGAACCATAGAATATTGCTAGCTTTCCGAATTTCATACAACAACTTGGTGTATGAAAATAGCTATATGGAGCTCTGCCTAAACTTCAATATTTGTTTTTACGCATGCACGAATACAATATTCAACCACTTACTTTGTAACATAAAAGAATCACAACCTCCCAAATAAATTGCAAATCTCCTGCAAAATTTTCCACAAGAAAAAACTCTATGCTTAGACAACCCTTTTAAGCTTTTCCTGGTAGGCATAGCTCTCATAAACTTTGTCAAATCAAATGTAGACCTTAACCTTAATATTGTCGTTAGATTGGTCATTATGGCTGAAGCATGACCTGCTAAGTTGTTGGTATTGCGTATCCTAAAAGCTCTCGAGATTCTATGTCATGATTTTCCTTCAAGAATTTCACATTCTTGAGCCCGTGACTATGGATTAATTAAGTAGAAAATATGGTCGCGAAAATATTTGCATTTAGACCAAAAGGTCAACATTGGCATTCTTGTAGATGCGGAAGGAGACAGTTATAGCGAGCTGCAGTGCTGCACTAGTGTTGCAGCATGGGATTTGGAACATGTGGTTGACTAATTCTTCAAGTCAATTTGTTGAATCAATACATGTACACTTTCGTGTAATTACATGTATATGATCCTAGCAACAACATGCTTCTGTACTGGTTAGAAAGTTTACAAAAAACTAGAAAGTTGTACTTTATTTTTGACACATACTGTTTTTGTCCATCATATGCTATATCTTGAATTTCAATATTGATTTTGCCCCGAACAAATGATCAAAATAGTCCGTTTTACTAGATTTGAATTGGCTCCTTATCATTAACTTTGGCCGACTAGGTTCTCTTAACTACTTTTTTTTTTGGTAACCCGAAGCATGTCCCAACTTGAATCCTTAGGATCTCTTAACTACTTTTTTTTTTTGGTAACCCGAAACATGTCCCAACTTGAACCCTTAGGACCGAGCCGACACACCAAACCAGAGGAGTGCGCCACGAGCCCACGCAACAACCCGGGCGAGTCACGGGAGTTCAAGTCCAGGGTAGAATTCAAACCAAGGATCACAAGGGTCCTTAAGAGTCCGCTTACCGTTGAACCACCCCGTGAGGGCTCCTCTTAACTACTTTTCTATAGCAGTTTAGTCCTTGTGTAGTTTAGCTGCCAAAGACTTTAAATTTTTCCACCTAAGACCGAGCAAAAATGGAAACAAATTTTCAGCTGAATTTAAAAGCACTAAAAAACATATAATTGAAAAAAATGGGAAATAATTTAGATTGAAGGCAACGAAAATAAATTAGATACAAAAATGGAAATAAAACTTGCATAAATTCCTTTGCATTTGATCTCAATTATTTCCTATTTTCCCAACTACAATGCATTTCTAAAAATGTAACGTGGGTTGCAAAGTTGACTTCCTATTTTACCTCAAGATTGACCAGCCAAACATTAAAGATGAGGGACCAATCCCGCTTTAGGAAATTTGTTGAGGGAATATTTTTTTGCCATTGGCTCATTGTGCCCCTAATCTCAAATTCACGAATAAATAACCTTCATCAAATGTTACTGTTGATACACTTAGGCTGCAGAGATACATTCATACAACTTTAATGACTTATCAGAGGACTTTTTATAGTTTTAGACATAACTCCACTAACATAACAATGTAATTGATGCTAAATTGATTAAAATAATTGAGTAGCCGAATCTGTGGATTTTCGCCTCATATCCTTGGCACTAACTTGCATCCTCAGGTGGGGTGAGAGGAAACGAGAATGAATAAAAGATTGGTAGGCACCGAAGACACTGGACAGTGGGTACTATTCTATTCTGGTAGGCGGGAAATGGGGACCTTCTGACTAGGAAGCATGATGGAGAAGATCAGCAAGTGAATTTTCTGGGAAGTGCAGGCTTTGGACAGGAAGGGGAACATGTGGGTGCTGGCCAGGCCATTCATCTTGTATAACTATTTTTGGGTTAGGGGGACTTAGTTTAATTTATAGTATCATGATCATCAGGTCATGAATTTTGAAGTGATTGAGATTTTTTTTATATGCATAATCTGTTATGATCTCAATCAATCTTTGTTCCAAGCACATAGCTGTGTACGAGCATGCAGAAGCACAGCAACAAGGATGATAGGGTATGAGATGCTGGAATGAAATGGATAGTGTGCTAACCCTTGAAAATGTATTGTATTAGAAAATAGGCTGTTTTGACTTGAGCCAACTCTAACTTGCAAAACACAAGAACCTTTTGGATTTAGCAAAAAGTAGTTAGTAAACATCAAGAAAGAGAAAAAGAAAAGACCCTCTGAAGGAACTTCATTGGTTCCAAGAATCTCTTTTTCTTGCATTTTTTTCTGCCCCCTAAATTTCTTGATTTTCAAGCATATTTAAGATGTTATTGTCTCTGTGTGTGTCATTTTTTGTTGCTTCTTGCAAGGTTGCAACGCCACAAAAATTTAAACCTTCTTCCAAACTCAGCCTATTAGGCTGACATTAATTTCTGGGATTTGTGGATGATTCGAGCTTCACTAAGATAAACCTACCAAACAAAAAGTGCAGACAAAAGAGTTGGCAACTAAATGGCATCAGTTCAGATCATTTGAGCCGACATATATCTACCACAATGAAAAGTTTCCATGTCATTATATTACATCCTCAACCCTCCTAAGCGTGCTCATAACCTAGATTATCTTCAACTTAACAATTCACATTTCCACTAAACATTAACATATCACTAATCCCACAAGCAAACACATGATACGTGGTTAGGCCTGATGACATGTAAATCACCAACACCAAATTAAGGTCACACGGCTAAAGTAACCATTGTTAACATTTTCATGTAGCACGTTCACGTGTTGAAAAACAATTTGTCCATTTTGAAGTCAAAGATCTAAGGCGCCAAATGCAACGTTCCATCCTTATAAACGGCAGTTAGGCATATGCACAATGTCTAAGTCTTTAAGATTGTCAACTTTAGTTCATCATCTTGTTATCATATATAGGATAGTTGACAATGTGTATATATATATATGCCATTACTGTTCTCTGTCTATAGCCTAGCCTCTTCATGATTTCGATCTTTTAATCTCTTCGAACTTGGCTTTCGAAGAAGATAAATCAATTTGATTAGCGGAATGGAATATTCAAAATCTTCGAAATGTCATTTGTTTCTCTTGATTATCGTTTTCTATGTTGTCTCTGGAGCAAATTTCATGCAACTTAGTAGTGATCAGGCATCTCTACTTGCATTCAAGGCTGGGATCGTTGCTGATCCCAAGCATGCTCTAGAGACCTGGAATGCTTCTAGTACTCAGGTATGCAATTGGTTGGGGGTTCACTGTGACAAAAAAAGTGGGAGAGTAGTTGAACTTGATCTAAGTCATCATTCTCTCCAGGGAACCATTTCACCATTTCTTTCCAACCTTTCTTACTTGGAAATTCTTGATTTGTCCCAGAACCTTTTCCATGGATATATCCCTCAAGAGCTTGGCACACTTTTCCAACTCAGACAGCTTAGTTTGTCCTCAAATCTTCTTGAAGGAAATATTCCATCACAGTTTGGCTCTCTGCGCCAGCTGGTGTATCTTGATTTGGGAAGTAATAAGCTCACTGGTGAAATTCCCATGCCACACTTGTGCAACGGCTCTTCATCATTGCAATATATAGACCTCTCCAACAATTCCCTTACAGGCAAAGTCCCTCTGAAGAATGAATGTGTGCTCAGGGAGCTGAAGTTTCTTCTACTGTGGTCGAATCAGCTAGTAGGTGAGGTTCCTGCAGCTCTTTCGAACTCGACTAGGCTTGAATGGCTTGACATGGAATCAAATTCGCTAAGGGGGGAGTTACCTTCTAATATTGTATATAAAATGCCTCACTTGCAGTTCCTTTATTTATCCTACAACCACTTCAGAAGCCATAACGGCAACACTGACCTCAAACCATTTTTCTCTTCTTTAGCAAATTCATCCAACTTGCAAGAACTTGAATTGGCAGGAAATCACCTTGGTGGAGAGTTGCCTTCCGTTATTGGTAATCTCTCTACTAACCTTGTACAGATTCATCTTGATGATAACCACATATATGGTCCAATTCCTAGAGAAATTTCAAATCTTGTCAACCTTACTCTCCTGAACTTGTCTAGTAATCTTCTGAATGGATCGATACGAACTGAGCTTTGCCAATTGCAGAAGCTAGAGAGGCTATATTTATCAAACAATTCATTTTCTGGAACTATTCCCACAGAATTCGGCAATGTCCTACATTTAGGTCTTCTTGATTTGTCCAAAAACAAGCTTTCTGGGACAATCCCAGATAGTTTTGCTAATCTCTCACAGCTAAGAAGACTTTTTCTCTATGAGAATGATCTCTCAGGAATGATACCACCAAGCCTTGGAAACTGCATTAATCTTGAAATTCTTGACCTCTCTCACAACGGGATCACAGGGAATATTCCTAGCGAAGTTGCTGGATTGAGTAGTTTAAAGTTGTACTTGAATTTGTCCAGTAACCACTTGGATGGGCCAATTCCACTAGAGCTGAGTAAAATGGACATGGTGCTGGCTGTTGATTTGTCATCAAATAACCTCTCAAGCACAATTCCTTCACAACTTGGAAGCTGCATTGCTCTAGAGTACCTCAATCTATCATCCAATCACTTGCAAGGCGATCTTCCTCCATCTATAGGTCATCTGCCTTACCTTAAAGGACTTGATGTCTCATTTAACCTTTTAACTGGAGAGATACCGCAAACTTTGGAGGGATCAACAACTCTAGTTCAGCTCAATTTCTCCTACAACAACTTTTCTGGAAATGTAACAAATAAAGGGGCATTTTCATCGCTAACTATTGGTTCTTTCCTGGGGAATCCTGGTCTCTGTGGTTCACTTATAGGTATGCCAAATTGCCACAGAAAAAGGACTCACCATTTTCCAATGGCAATGCTCGTTTCTCTAATTGTAGCTGCCATAATTTTCATGGTTGGGTATCCTATAATACTGAAGTCAAAATTTGGGAGGCACTTAGCAGTTGCTAGTGCTAAGGACACAGAAAGTGAAGAGAAGGAAAATAAAGAACTAAATTTGCCCCGGATATCTTATAATCAGCTTATTGAAGCTACCGGAGGGTTTAGCAGTTCAAGCCTTATCGGTTCAGGTCAGTTTGGTCACGTATACAAAGGAACTCTTACAGATAATACATGTATAGCTGTAAAGGTATTGACTCCAATAGCAGCTGGTGAGATTTCAGGCAGCTTCAAACGGGAATGTGAAGTCCTGAGAAGAACAAGGCATAGAAATTTGATAAGGATCAAAACAATCTGTAGCAGGCCAGACTTTAAGGCTCTTGTTCTTCCACTGATGCCAAATGGGAGCCTTGAAAACCATCTTTATCCAAGCCCCGAAATGAAGCATGGTTTGGATTTGATTCAGCTAGTGAGCATTTGCAATGATGTCGCAGAAGGAATGGCATATCTGCATCATCATTCTCCTGTTAAAGTTGTCCATTGTGACCTGAAACCAAGCAATATTCTCCTTGATGTTGACATGACTGCTATGGTCACTGATTTTGGCATTTCAAGATTAATAAAAGGGGTTGATGAACATACTTCAATCAATGATTCTGCCTCTTTCAGCTCTACACAGGGTTTGCTTTGCGGTTCAGTTGGCTACATAGCTCCAGGTACACACTTTTTCAAAATTCCTAACCCGTATGCTTGTATGTTCATCTGGCTTTCTCAAATATAACCCTGATGTAGTGTTAGAGTTGACTTAATTTCTAAGTTCATGACTATGGTTTTCCAAAATGTGCAGAATATGGAATGGGAAGACGGGCTTCAACCCAAGGAGATGTATACAGTTATGGAGTTCTTCTATTAGAGATTGTGACAGGAAAACGTCCAACAGATGTCCTTTTCCAAGAAGGCTCAAGCTTGCATGAATGGGTTAAAAGTTTCTATCCTAACAAGTTTCAGCCAATTGTAGAAGAAGCAGTAATGAGGCTTTCTCCTAGTTATGCTCCTCCTATCACTAACGATCAAAGTAAAAGATGGCGTGAGGTGATTCTGGAGATGCTTGAACTAGGCCTTATTTGCACCCAATACAATCCTTCGACCAGACCAACCATGCTCGATATAGCACATGAGGTTGGTCAGCTGAAGGAGTATCTGTCTTGCTCTTCATCCCAGCTCATTGAAGAAGATCCTACTGAATTGAGGTACCTTTGACAGTGACATGGCAGCAGTGATCATGAAGATGTTCACTGTGCGTGAATTTTTGTTTTCTCCTTTCTAGTGAGCAATTGAAGATTAATTTTAACCCATCTATTTCTGGCAGATTAGATATTGGATACCAACAATTCGTTGTGACTCTCTGATGTCCTTGAAAGCGTACAGTTTTGCTTGTGTGGCTGGTTTAAATTTTACCACAAGGCAATGAAAAGGAAATCATTGTTTTGGGCATTTTTATTCTTTATAATAGAGCAACAAATCATGCTTTCCAGAGTCGAAATGCACTCATAGGCTTCTTTCTGCCTACAATTAATATCTAATACAGCATCAGAGTTGGCTAGTGGAAGGTCAGGGATACCAAACTCACTAACTCTCAACAACAATGATCAACTGCACTCAAAACACTTTCATGTTTGTGAAGCCAATATTTTGGCTGTATAAGTTCCAAGACATGCACTTCATTCTGGAATTATCCCCTTCCTGGTTTTATATTACCATTAAAATGACAAAACCAGAGAAAAGGAAGATGAGAGACAACAAAATGATTGACTAGATTAATGCTTGTTTAGTAAGTAGTGCTGAAGATGAAAATGACTGCAGGAGGTGCGTGCCTCATTAATATCATTTCCATAATGCAATCTTCTTGATATTAGTTAGGATATGTTTAAGGACAATAAAGGACCACGCTCAACCAATAGCCAACTGCATTCATCTAACTATCTGCTCAACAATAATTTATTTAGCAACTTCATAATTTCATAAGTGAACAAATCAGTTTCCGCTGAATGCTAAAAATATCATCCCTTTTCCTAATTCAACCTAAATTCATGTTCTCATTATCACTTAATTAGCCTTCCAACGTCCTCACTTCCAATGAAGAGCTTGACACACCGTACCAGACAATCAGTGAAAAATGCAATATTATGAAGCAGAATTCTGCCATATTCTTAAATTCATTGTCTTTTGCATCATTTGCTGCTTCCACTTCTTTAAATGGATGCGAGGATCCCCATTCATAACAAGTTATATGACCTTTCTGGTCTACTTTTGCAACCGTTGCTGATTCCAGCAATGAAGTTTTAAAAGAATATGCAGTGTAACGTTCCTTCATTTGGCATATAATTGCACAAAATCACCTGCCATAAGAGACAGAAAGTTGAAAAGAATAGAGCAAGTGTGCAACACCTTTGGAGCTACCAGTGTTCCTATGGTGCTAATCACATAATTATTACGTTTCATCTATAACGTGGATCCAGGCTTGAAATCCTCAATGGACATGACAACTCAGTCATTCTGCATTCTGTCTTGCTCTATGCAGAACTTCTGGGGCGAGAAAAATATAAAACACATACACGAATAATCTATTGCTGATAGAACTACAAAAGACTAAGGAAATTGAGGCAGATGTCAGAGTTCTACCGTTAAAAGTTTAGTTCCTGACACTGACAAAGAACATTTTTGGCATGGATATCGCATCTTCTTTACTTATTAAACATGAATATAAGCATTCCTGGTGGACAAAACACCAATGTCCAGGGAACTCTTTCACAGGATTTATTAGAAGGATACTTTTGCTGCTATTATCTATCACCTTTGGTGGGCAAGAATTCAGAAAATCTATCAATCATCTGACTTACCAACAAGTTTGGCCTATACTAGCACTCTAACTGATGTCATGGCATTACCTGCCAGTTTGAGAGGGTTTCAAATGAAAGAAGAAAACTGGGATCTCTATACTGAGTGGATGCTTATCGTTCATATTTTTATTAGCACTTATGCACCTAGTGGAGCTTTGACTTGAGGACAAAAAAGGATGTACTGCTTTTCCACCTTTACTGATTGTTCAGCTCAGGAAAGTATACCCCTTTAACTGGTATAAACTGTAATTCTCTAGGATAAAATTGACAGCAACTTTTAGGGAATAGACAATCACCACATAAGCGAGGACAAAGCAAGCTCATAGATAATTTTTTTTTTTGGTAGGGTATGGCCCGTGTAGGTAACATCACCGAAAGAAGAAAAAGTAGTAGTCCTTTTCATCATTTTTTTATAATTAAACTAACGATCTCAGATGCGGTCTTCGGGCAGTTTTGTGATGTAGGTACTCCTTTATGTGGCCTAAAACTAGTCTAACAAGTGCTAGAAGAAAAGAGAATGATTTAACAAATACTCTTAATTCAGTGAAGCGAACTCAATTCTTACTGATGAGACAAGCTGATTAATTTGTAAAACTTATAACCGCAATAGGAAGAGTTTCTAATAGTGTTACAAATCATAGTGCAACTGAAGAATGGATTTTGACATAATGAAATCCAGTTTAAGAGTTTGTGCACAAAAAGATATTCATTGTCTCAGAGGAAATGCTCCCACCTGAGTACACAATTTAATATGAAACTAAAACTTTGATTTAAAGTGGTCCTAAAAACTCAGACATCATTGAGTAAATGGAGTAGCTACTTGACAGAAATATGTATGGTAAGCATTTGTTGGATGTTGTAAAAAATTTTCATCAGAATGGTGAACTCTGTTCTCAAGAATTAGATTAGGATAATCCAACATTTAAAGTGTGAGGCTTAAAAGCGAGGTTTCTTATTTTTAAAATTTGAGGAAAAGAAAAGGATTAGCAAAATGATGATAAGAGAGACATTTTCGAGGAGAACTCCACAGCTTTCCTCTAAAAAATTATCACGTTCTTACTTCTTAAATCTAGGAGTAAAAGCATTATCAATGGTCTAACAAAGAGTTGCTGCAATCCCCTCTCTTTTTTATTAGTTCTTATATATGAAAATAGATACTGGTGAAAAGAATCTAGAACGCTATCAAAATACCTGGGAGATACAAAGATTGCATTGGCAACAGCAATTTGTTATAGAAGGAAACACTAACCAATTTCACACTTGCACAAAAACACTTGTTCAGTAAGATATTATCTTGTAATGACTTAACAGTGTAATCTTTCCCAGGGCTTCTGCAATCGTCGATATTTCTTAAGAAGGTATCAAGTTTTGCACAGTTAGTCAGGTCTCGTTTAAAGAGTTTCTTATCAATAAAAAGTGCTGAGACATATTCCAAGAGGCAACTCCTAAGTTAAGTTTTATATGTTTTGATTAAAAGAATGCAGGGGCTCTATAGAAGATTGGGAATGGACTTCTGTGCAAACTCTTGAAGTGCTTCAGTTAGTCCATATCATCACAATCTTCAACGACATGGATTAGTATATAATGAATCGGATACCCTCCTCCCATCTTAATATACCCCTACAATTTTTATTAACCATGTTCCTGAATCTTGACTAAACTAGCATACAAATGCATAACCTTCTACAGGTTGGAAGATAATTGGTTCTATAGTGCTTATATGTCTTTCTACATGGTTCAGAGACTGATACTTACTGAACAAAAGAAAATAACAGGCTCAGTTAAAAATATGGTTGATCAACTTTTGTCATCAGAGACAACAGAAGTCCTCCTGGATAAGAAATTGGAGAAGTATGCTCCTAAACATTGGGGTCACGCTGAACTTAGAGATTTCACTATAAAAGGCAAAAACCATTCAGTACCCTTTGAAATTTTCCAAAAGCTATTGACTGAAAAGGACCAAATTTGTTCCATGAAATTGAAACATTTATATTACACGATTTGACACTGAAATCAAGTCCACAAACATCAATCAAAATTTTAAAATCACTGCCTGACTGTTCCATCGAACTTCCACATACTACACAATGTACATAGACAAGCATATTTTTATAAGGTTATTGCCAGAAGAGACGTGGTTGTGTACTACATGTCCACCTGCAGTCAAATGGATTAGGAGATATTACAAACAAAAGATAAACAAACTGTCATGTTTCCTAATGTTTTATGTTTGGTTAATCCCAAGAGAGTCTCCTTAACCTCATTTTGTGCTCCATTAGTGAGTTCAACAATTAGTCTACTTCCAATGCCTTTGAACTCTATGAAGTTTTATAAAACTATAGCACATAAAAATCAAATTCATACTAATAAAGTAGTGGACTAAACTCTTAATTTTGCTGTGCTAGGACACAGTGCTCAGCTAAAACCTTTCAATGCTTGGAGCCAACTGCAAAAACCTTTCCTACATTCCAACAATTCATTGCATATAGGGAGCCCACGTTTGATGTTTTTCACCTGTAGGGTGTCAACAGAATTAAATACACGCTTAAGGAGCTTAGACTAGCATTCCAACATAAATATGTGTAAACCATCTTAAATAAAGATGAATTGAGTATCAAAAGAAGTCTTTCAATACAGATCAAAAGAATTTGGAAGCTGTCACTGATTTTGAAGCTTAATCCTTGCTTTAAGTTCAACAATATTTTAAACTAATCTTCAACACGAGCTGATTTTCCTCAATGCTTAAATTTCTTCTTTTGCCGTGCGACATAGGACTTCCAACAACTTTGGGTATTTCAGAGAAGTAGTTGTGGACTAGGGAGAGGACATTTACAAAATAATCCCAATGTCCATCTGCACACTCCACATCCAGGATGCACAAAGAAAGTAAGCGGACAGATTACATAACTATACTTCCTTTTGTAGTCAAGAAGAGTATCCTTGCAGATAATTTATTTATCATCTGTTGAAGAATTTTCACACTCCAACTATGGGTATACATTTGAATTTAGTTAGAAATGCTATAGTGCCAGAGAACTTTCGAGCACCAATAGCACTTGATCTCTATGCAACGAATGAGGGGTTATTTTCTTCTGCAGAATATGATAAATGATATCAACAGAAATGCTAGTCATTTTAGAAAAATGGACATAAGCTGTGACTTGCTTCCATTAATCTGAAAAACTCCTGGGCAGTTCTATACTAGCAAAGGTCACATTTATTTTTGTGTACAACATGATTTTGGTTGAACAAATATAGAAATCATTCTCTTGCAAGCTCACAAGTCACAATTAAAAGATGAAAGCAAACTTAGTGCTTGAAAAGGGCTTGATCTCAGATCACTGAGAGAGAGAGAGAGGG